TGTCCTGGAACTCACTATGTAGATCAGGATGGCCTTGAACTCACAGAGATCCATGTAGCTCTGCTTCCCAAGTGCTGCGATTAAAGGCATGTGCCACCACATCCAGATAAAAACAAACATTTCAAAGATATTTTCTGTTATTGTTATTTTGCTTGAATGTGTATTTTGCTCTCTATTTTTACTATTAAAATATTTTTAAATTTTTGTTTTACATGTTGAGATATTTTGACTATATATATGTATGTATCTCATGGGTGAACAATGACCACAAAGGTCTGAAGATGACATCAGGTGCTACGGAGCTGGAGTTACAGTTGGTTGTGAGATGTCATGGAGATGCTGGGCACCTAACCTGGTCCTTTCCAAGAAAAACCAGTGCGTGTAACTTGTGAGCCTGCGCTCCAGATTCACCCTCACTATTTTAAATATTTAATTTTGTTGTCTCTGGTATTTTGTCTTTCTTTAAAATATCTTTACACTAGTTATCCAATTCCTTCTCCTGTAATTGCACTCTTTTTTAGACCTCAAATTTTTTCTTTATTTTTTATTCTATTTTTTTCATTTTTATTTCTCTGTCTTGTAATTAATGTTACCTTTAAATGTGGCTCATTCTACAACGATGTTAGTCACTACAATGGGTGTTAGTCAGAGCTGAGAAAAGTGACTCCAGTTTTCAACCTGGAGATAAGGATGGAGTCACTGGGGGATGGAGGACAGCATGGTGGGGGTTGTGGAAAGGGAAGCACAGTGCTGAGAAGTCAGAGCTGAGAAAAGGGATCAGCATGACAGAGACCTGCTGAGACACTGAGTGTACAAAGTTAGTCTTTTCTCTTGTCAGTGTTCTTTTTACTTAGGTTTTCCTCATTTGTACAACGTTTGCTCTTATTTGTAATGATTATTAGTTGCCTTCTTGGAATGTGATCCTGCAATCCCAGGTCAACAACTTGAACACATGCCATGCATATATCCCTTGTTCATGTTCATTTTCTCAAATACCAGGATGAACAATTGCTGTTTATTATTTAAAAACCCCAGAGACTGGTGTCTGTGGGCTCTCTCAATGCAGCTATCCTAGAATTTGAAAATCTTCCTAGCCTCTTCGAGTTGCTTTGCATCAATGGGAAGCTTTCTCTGACTGCCAGGCTGTAGGAACTTCTTCACATTGGGCAGGCTGCTGAGTCTGCTCTTCAGGGCCTGTAATCCAGAAAACACAGCCTGAGAGTCAGAATGGCTTATGTGGACAATCCAAAAAACTCTGAGCCCCTCCCAGAACATGACCAACTGCATCCTTACAACAGCTCCAGTGTAGACATGAGAAAAATGATAAAACCATTAGCTGAATCCACAGTTCACAATAACCTGATGAAAGACCTCCTTTGACATCCACTTACCTTTTCCTCAGGTCCCTGACACACCCTGTAGTCTGGTTTTGTGGTGCAGAGCACAGAGCACTGTGTCTCTCAGGTGTGAAAGCAGAGACTACCAAAGAAAACTGAAGACATGAAAAATTGAGTTGGAAATGGAGGCAGAAAAGTTCAAAGTCTAACCAGGAGCAACTCACAGCCAGTTTTCAACCTGGAGATAAGGATGGGGTCCCTGGGGGTGGAGGACGGCATGGTGGGGGTTGTGGAGAGGGAAGCACAGTGTTGAGAAGTCAGAGCTGAAAAAAGGGATCAGCATGACAGAGACCTGCTCAGACACTGAATGTGCAAGGAGAGGACACTTGAGATGAAGATGAAGGCCAGAAGCATCCTGCAAAAAACAGGGGTCCAGGGAAACTCCTGCATCTTTCTCATGACAAAAGGCAAAATATTCTTCTTGGAGTACCAGCCTCCAATCTCCATACACAAAAAGATAATTTTCATGCCTGAAACCAGGGTCCAGTAGCTCAGTTTGGAGGCTTGAGGATGGGCCCTAGGAAGACCACAGGCCACCATTATATTCTCAGAGGCATGTGTGTGCGGCTGCCTCTCTGAGGTGATCTCACCTTCAGCAGGGGGAAAGGGGCCAGAAGACTGGAATCAAGCTCTTCAATATAGAGGAGAAGTTCCAGCAGGTGAATGTCCACCCTGGTCAGCCTGTTGCCAACAAGGTAGTCTTGTCCATGGCTCTTCAACACCTGCAGAATTAAAGGAGACAGATTATGAACATAGAGTTGGGCAGGGACCACTGACTTTTCCCAAGTCTCCCAAGGGGTGGCTCTGCCTTTGCCTGGCAGGGATAGAGGTGCAGACACTTCTCTAGGCCTAAGATACAAGAGGGAGAGGGAGAAGTCAGGCAGGCAACCTCCTCTTTAAAGTTCAGGTGACCTTTCTCTGCCATTGCCAGTTCCTATGGCCTTCACACCACCCACCCTTCTGTACATTTTCCACCTGTGATAAGGATTAGCCCTGACACATCTTGTTTCTTCCCCTTGTTTTAAGCTGATGGGACACTGGAATGTCAGGACTTTCCTCTCCCTGTCCCCTGTTCAATCTCTCTTGGGCAGAGGCTCCGCATGCAGGGAGCATCAG